CAGGAATGCAGATCCCTAATAGAATGTAACAATTCTGGATGCTGGGGTAGTCCAAGGAAAGCAGAGCACAGAAAACAGGTGGGATTCCATCTTCTCCCTGTACACCATTCCCTCCCTCCCTGTCAGACACACAGTCCTGGATGAGATGGACCTTTAGTTCGAACCAGCTGACAATTTTTAGTGCATGACTAAGTTACCTCTGAGAATGTTTCCTGAAAGATGATCAGTCTAACTGTTGAATTTCAACATCTAACTTACATACAAGATCAGAATACACACCCCATAATCTCTCTTCTTGAATGAGGTCATCATTTTTTTCGTTCCTGCAGATTTTAAACACAAGCTTGCAAACACTAAGAAGATTTTTTCCACCCACTTTCATCTGCAAAGAAAGGAAAAGACATAAAAATCACCACTAAAATCTCCATACAAAAATGTACCATAAACATTTTCCAAGATGAGACACCATGGCAAACTTCTCCCAGAACTATTGAACTCCAGCTGAAAACTTGACAGTCCACTGAGCCAAACTCTGAAGTTTGCAGAAAGAAAGGAGTTTGAGCCCTGGTAATTTAAGCTCTATTTAGCAAACTGTGCTGACTGTCTTTAAAATAACAGATAATATATAATAAACTTTTTAAGTATTTTCTGTGCATAGTGTATCAATAACTTGCACATTTTTTTTCCCTCTAGTTCACTCTTACAGAGAAATTCAGCACAGGATTCACTGGTTTGGCATCTGTGGCCATACTACACAGAACTCCAGTACTACAGCACATGTCATAAATTATTCTCAAATGTTGGAAAATAAGATCTTATTTAAAAACTAAACGTTTCCATCTGTAATTTTTACAACTATTGTTTTATTTACATCCCTGTGTGTGTATCCCAGATTAGGACACTGTCTCTTCCATGCCTCAGCCAATAATATTCCTGCCACCATACACCAGCTACCTTATTTTGTGTCCCTCCCTTCTCCCCCAGATGCAATTTTGCTGCAAAAAAATAGGCTCAAACAAGTGTAGATTGGGATGAATGGGAGACTAATACCCATATGGCAAGAAACTGTGCTTAAGAAAGCATTAGTTTAGACACAGATGAAAAATATGAAATGAAAAATTAAATGCAAGTTGTAATTCAGGATTTTGAGCTTCACATTTTACCAAACAGCTTTTAAAAACACTCACAGCCAGAATAATCTTTGCCACCTTCAGGTAAAGTGGATCTGAATCAATGTCTACAAGTTTATATAATGTCTTCAGAAGCACATTTCTTCTTTTAAATCTTTTTCCCAGCATATTTCCTTCATTCAAGGCTTGGTAGAGCCTGGTGCAAGCCAGACAAAGATTTTCTACATTGTCTTCTACTTGAGGAAGGTGGGAAGAGAGAGAAAAACAAAAAAATAATTATCAGTATCACCTTTTCTTTGTCTCAATAGACCAAGACACAGGAGCACAAAATCAAGGATGGGTTGCACTACAACAAAAACACAGCACCAAATATATCTCTTAAAATTATAACATGATCCTCAGAAACTTCTGCTCTTTCAAAAAGAAGAGACTCAAGCCAAGCAATCACAGAGTTCAAATCATATCCAAAGCTAAAATGAAACTTACCTTTAATGCTTAATAACCAGATTGACCAATGCCTACCAGGAAACTGTGAATCTGAACATATTTTTTAAAGAGCTCCACCAAACATTCCATGTGAAAAAGAGACAGTTAAGGGATATTTTTCTCCTGATATACATACCCTAAAACATCAAACCTTGCTGGGATTAAGAACAAGTGAATTTAAAAACTTGTCAGAACTCTCCAATGCACATGAGAGGTGCAAGACATATTTGAGTGGACTGTTGGCCTGTTGACAAATATGTCACCTACCTCCTAAATTGAGTCCCTCAGACACTGCTTAAAATTACACACTAAACTGCAGGGAAACTATTACAAGATCTACATGCAGGGGGTGGAACCTGATCAGCTTTAAGGTCCCTTCCAACCTTCACCATTCTGTGATTCTATGATATCTACTTCCACCATGACAGAGAATGTAACAAAATTCAGCATGATTCTAAACCCTCTGCTCCAGTAGGCAGGGAAACAGGAGTGGGAAGGAAATCAGAATGGAAAGGTCTTAAAAATTATGAACATCTAAATTATTCATCACTCATCCAATGGGGTATTTTTGAAGGTTATCCTCCCCTGAGTACTTGAATGTAACAAGGTATTTGCTTCTCTACAAAGAGAGACTTTGGGGTTCTATTTGTTTTTATCATATAACAAGCATCTCAAGCACATGATATTAGAACCACAGAATGGTTTGGGTTGGAAGGGACCTTCAAGGTCCTCTAGATCCAACCCCCCTGCATGGGCAGGGACACCTCCCACTAGATCACATTTTAGACAACAATTAAGTTCCAGATTAAATTTATTTGTTCTTCATTGGAAAGTTTTTTGCAAATATTTCTGAGGGAGAAAGGCAAAGATAAAGGTTTTTCTATTAATACATAAAAACCTAAATGTAACCTAAAATGCATGTGCAGAGAATTATCTGAAAGGTACAAAACCACAAATTTAATTTAATCTTGCCCATAAAATTACTCAATTACCAACACACCCACTCAAAACATTAAAATTGTGGAATTCTAGTATTCATTTTGATAGGAAAACCTGCAATTGTGCAGTAAACAGCCTAAAAAAAGTCATATAACCTGCAGCTGCAGGAGGCAGGCAAGCAAGTCAGTTACAGTCTGTGTGAATATTCAAGAAGCACCAAAATTCTTCAATGTAAGGTTTTTGTAGTACTATATTCAATCAACTGGTGAGAAAGTATCATTAAATGATTTCACCTATTATTAGAAAAACTAAACCATAAATTAAAAAAAAAGCTAAAAAACCCCAATACACTAACCAAATCAAGTAAAGACTGAGGAAAAGGGGCATGAAACCTGATTTTCCTTCGTTACATTCATGACAAGGGAAAGACATGATTAGATTTTGCCTCTAAGTATTTTGCTTATCTATAAAGAGCATCTCACTATGCAAAACTTTAACTCAGTGGCTCATATTTCACAATCTCAGCATTAAGCAAGGAAAATGTGAAGTAGCACAGCTGTTATCAAATGCCCTGATCACTGTTTTTCTACACATGAGAGAAAGCTGAGGGAATGAGAATCCTTCCTTTTTAGAATAATGATGTATTTGGGGAAATCATTCAGTACTCTACAGGTGTTTCATACTCATCAACATCTGCAAAATGATGCAAAAAATAATTTCTCATCTGTACCATGCTATAATGAACAGTGCAAAAGGTCTAAAGAAATAGAATCAATACTATGACTCTCACTTTTAAACACTTGTAAAAACAAATCTACTTCCTAAATTCCCACCATTCAAATCTGTATGTTGACAAAAGCCACTGAAAAACCCTTTTGAATTCAACATTAAATAGGATTTCAGAGTTCAGTCTTTCAAGACATACTTAATTTACTCAATTTTGCTTTGTTATGTTCTGCTTCAAATATTCTGGGTCATGACACACTCTTCTGAGACCTCTTACACTTCAAGCACAAATGGAAATTTTCATTAATATTTCCTTAGTTTTCTAAAACTGAGACCTTCAAGTACAGTCTATGCTTAAAACAGTGAATCTCTGCAGCACTTCATTCTTTAAATTATCTCCTCCCTGATTGTGAAGCTGGCAGAGCTCTGTGGTCTAAAATAAGGTAATTTTAATCAGACAAGTTTTTCTTCCAGAATCACAGAATGGTTGAGGTTGGAAGGCACCTCTGGAGGTCTGGTGCTCAAGCAGGACCACCTTGAGACACCTGCCCAGCTCAGTTTTACACTGCAATAGCAAAATATGAAATCATAAAAGGCAACCTAGTCCAACTACTGCTGCTCTTTTGTAGTAAACACACAGGAGTCCCATGTTTCCTGCAGGAAACAGGCCAGAAAAGACACACTTTCAATTACCCACCTTTTTCCAATTCATGCAGAATTGGTAGAATCTTGACATTCCAAAAGATTTCTTCCTCTTTGGATTCATTTATTCTTCTTTCATCCTCTGAGCCTTCAAAGTACATTCAAAATAAAGGACACATTCAGCAATTGTTTCAACTTTTACACAAATAGCTACAAATAATTCATTCACCTGTTAGAAAAAATAATCTAAAAATGTCACATTTTGCTATATTCTAGGTGACTCTACCTGTTCAAGGTTTTGTTTTTATTTACATTTTCTCCAAAAGAAAAACAACAAAACTAGATGGATAAATATTTTGATATGTAAAGCCAGATTTGCTTTTGTTTGATGACATTAATGTTTCATTCCATCACTGAATTGGAAGGTAATTAATTCTAAATCAACATGTCCTACTACTTTTCAGCTGTGTCCATGTAACAGCTTATTCTGTGTTAAAAAAACATTTATACTACTGACAATCCTCTAGGATTGTGTAATTTTATCTAGTACACATGCACAATTTTACACTGAGCTTGGTTCATTGACTCTTTGGTCAGTTTATTTTAGACTTCACTTTGAAAAGACAAAAAAAGTCCAGACACCAAGTTAAAATTTGTAGAGCAAAACCATCAAGTCTGTGTCCGTTTTAAAACTGGACAAAGGAGCTGGTGAAGAACAGTTTATCAAAAAACAGATTCCAGGATGGATTTTCATATGGTAGCAATATCACTGGGAATTATTTGGACAGAATTCTGGTTTTTACCATTTGCCCACTACAGCTGAAGAGCCAGAGTTTCAGGGCCAATTGAGTTTTAAAGGACCTAATAATTGCTTACAAGGTGCATGGAGGCATATTTTTGGACTTCAAGACCAGGTTAAGCTTCTTATTTGCAGGGAACCAAAGATGAGGTTTGGTTTGTTTGGGTTTTGGTTGATTTTTATTTTTTTTAGTAAGGAAATAAAAGCTACACAGCTCCATTATGAAGAAAGCCATTAAGACTAGAATATAAACATTTTTTTACATTACAGATTTGTCAGAAAGTGTCTCTAACTTCCATGACTAGCTCTTGCATTTCAATTACAAGGTAAATTCTTAACATCATGATTATCAAACACAAAACCCACTATACTACATGAAAGCACTGTTAGTAAGAGGTTTGCATCAAGAGAATACTCTCAGACATTAAAAACATGACTGCTGATCAGTACTTGGAACAGTGAAACAATTCAAAACTTCCTGATTATTCAAAAGCTTACTCTTTAAAAGAAATTCCAGAATCTTTCAGTGTATCTCTATTAACCGTCCACCTACATTTTACACAGAATGAATCAATTACTTCTATTCTTCTCTTAACCATAGAATGGTTTGGGTTGGAAGGGACCTTCAAGATCATCCAGTCCCAACCCCCTGCATGGGCAGGGACACCTCCCACCAGCCCAGGTTGCTCCAAGCCCCATCCAACCTGCCCTTCAACACTGCCAGGGATGGGGCAGCCACAGCTTCCCTGGGCAACCTGGGCCAGGCTCTCACCACCCTCACACTCCACAATTTCCTCCTCATGTCTCACCTCAATCTCCCCTCCTCCAGTTTTCATCCATCCCCCATTGTCCTCTCCCTCCCTGCCCTTGTCCCAAGCCCCTCCCCAGCTTTCCTGGAGCCCCTTCAGGCCCTGGAAGGTGCTCTAAGGTCTCCCTGGAGCCTTCTCTTCTCCAGGCTGAACACCCCAACTCTATTCATTTTGTTTCAACGGTTTATACAAAAAAGCTGCTGTTGTCTATGTAATAAACTGGTATATATGTTATTACTATAACTACAGACTGTTGGTGTGTGCTTAGATACATGTTAGTAGATATCATTAGGTAATACTATTACTTATTTTGCTGTGTTTTTTTATTTCCTAGATCAAATGAGTTAATAGCCTTACTTAGTAGCCTAATTAAGAAAACACTATGCAGCATTTGCACTGAAGTGAAAGTTCTGCTTCGGGTCATGTAAGAGCTCAGCTGAAATGAGAACACTAGAATAGTTTGCAGTGTTCCTTCCTGCCACAAAACCCACATATTGACTCAATTTTTTCTTTTCTTTCCAATTTGTAACTAACCCTCTAAAACTGAATGATGGGACTGATTTCCTAACTATGCACATGCTTAACTTTATTAAGTAAGAAACAGAATAGTCCATGTTTGCATTTGCAGATACAACCAAACTCCTCACTAGAAGAAATGATAAAATCCATTTTTAATTCAGAACAAAAGCAACAGATTATTTTGTGCCCCTCTGCTGCAGATGTCCCACCTTCAATAGGAAAACAGAGCAACCTAAAAGTCATAGTGGCATTACTATTTATTTTTTTTAGTTAAATTCTGTTAAAACCAGGAAAAAATAAATAAATAAAAAGATAATCAGCCTTTACTAAAAAAATATTGATCCTTGCAATAAGAATGAACAGGTAATAAATGATCCAAAAGAAAAGACACATTAATATATTGTAAACTTGCATCTGTCTCACTTGAGAGAGATTTTTTAAGTGATGATGAAAAGTTACAGCATTAATTGCATTTAAAATATTGCAGAAGCTGTCCTGAACCCTCTAATTCAGTGAATCCCAATTCAACAGCAAAAATACTCAAGCAAAAGAATTCAGCAAGTTGAAGTTCATTGTCTCAGTCTTTCATAGGTCTTAACAACAGCTTTGCATTCTGGTCAAAAAAAAAATAATAAAAAAATCACTAATCAGTCTACATTTATTGGTTGCTGTTTTTAGCATGTAAATACAAGAGCCTTAGCAACACTGAGCTTTCCAAAGCTGTGTACTGCCTGACTTATCATGTTTAGCCTTTTCATGGAATACTGAGTGGCTACAAATATATCAGTATTACAACAGTCTGCCTCCTCTCTAAATTGTGAAAGTATCATCACAAATTTTAATAGAAAATAGAAATAATCTGGAAATGAACACTCCCTCCAGGACCCCACTATAGAGAAGAAATGACTGAGAACTCCTACTGCTATCCCAGTGTTCGTTCTGGGATTAAAGATGAATGCACAAAATAAGGAAGCTATATCATGATTTTAAGAAGTAGGTATAAAAAGAAACAATCCTAGTAACACGTGCTTTTTTTAATACCACCTGTAAACTATCACACATAAATTAAAAGGCTTATAACTGAGAAAACACTGCCCCACAGAAAATCTCACAACATAGTAAATACTTTCAGCTCCTCTGAAGGAAAGGAAAGCAGAACATGTTACAGCCTTCACCAGAATGACCCAGAGCAATGCAACTTCTCAGCTCTAGAAAAACAGCAATGAAGTATAATAATAGCAGAACAGAAACTTAAAGTTTCCATACTAGACTCTCAAATACCCACATGCCATTTATGAAACATATCAGGAAACATGAATTAAAAGCTGTTATGTAAAAATAGCCAAATGCATCCCTGCAGGGCAATCCAGAATCTTGATATTCAGCCAGTATAGCCTGGCATAACTTTAGTAGTTTCTCTGCAACTATGCCAGTTTACACAAAGTGATGGGCAAACAAGGTGTTAATGGATTGGCAAATTGTCAAGACTACACAGGGGAAAAAGCAAGTTAGAAAATATCAACAGAATGTTAGAGGGAAGATCCCTTGAATATTGCTCCTCTTTATCAATTACAGTAAAAAAAAAAATTATCTAGCAAATACAAAAATTGTTCAGTGAATACAGAAGGAGAGGATCTTCAAATTACAAAAAATAGATTATTTCTATTGGTTTGTACTTCATATTTTTTGACTGGAGATTGAAATGCTTTATGAATTACCTGTTACTCTTCTCTTCCAGCTTGTACTCCCTGGCTGTGATGAATTTGTCTCAGGCTTTTTCATCTGGTCACTAAAAGATACAGTATAGACACACACAGATTATATCAGAATATAATGCCCAAAATGCTTCTTTCTTCACATGTGCTTAGTATGAGAGCTGCATATTAATGACTAATTGGAAAAGATTATAAGTTATTTTACTAAGTCAGTAGGGCATCTGCTCATTAAAAATGATCTATAAATACAACTCCCTTCAGTGTGTGTTACAGAAAGCTCCTTCAGAACTATTGACATAATTACACCACAAGAGGTCACCGTTACGGAACACAAAACCTAGAGCAATACTTAACAGTTAAACTGAAAGCTGAACCAAACTGAACTCAGAAAGACCCAGGTTTTCTTCTATCATCAGTTTATTAACTAAATATAAGCTTAAAAACCCAAGTTCATCCATTCGCCAGGACAGTGATTACTTCTGATAGAATTCAAACTTTTAAAAGATCTCATTAGAAGAATTTTTGAAGAATTTGACATCAGTCACCTTCCTATTCCAACTATTCCAAACTGTGCAGGGGTCACTGGTTCTGTTAGTCCAAGAAACACGTTTCTTGTCCATTTTTTTGTAAAGCAACAGCAATGCCACAATTCCTGATGATTATATGGTTAGACTTTCTTTGGCCAGAGGAAACTACCACATACATCTGTGATAAATCTACTGTTTGCCCAGCTACACAGTCAAGCAGCACTGATCTAGAAGAAATACACAAGATACAGACTTTGCTATCAAACAGGAATGTTTCCTCCTTAAAATTCTGCATTAAAGACAAAGATCTTAATCCATGTTTTCTATTCTCACTGTATGTTCAACATAACAGTTCTTATTCCATTTACAGTTCACATACTGGTACAACCTCATCTCCTAAATTTCCTTCCAAAGATAACAGTAACAATGTTACTTCAGCGTTTTTTTTAACCTCTTCATTTAGTTGCAATAAGGCCTCAACTGTTCAAGTGGTTTGCTGGAGTGGTGCCTAAATCCTGTCTGCCCATCCAGACAGAAGATGAAAGTCATCCTGTCAACAGATGGAGACAGAATAAAAGACAAAGCTCTTGTAAGATCAGTTCCCTACCAAAGGTACTGGATAGCTCACACTGATCAGTTCAAAAATTTCCAGGCAATCACATTACTGAGGAACACTTGCATCATCCTGGCTCGCAGCAAACGATGCTTTTTCTTTTAACAGCATGAGGATATAAGTGCTCCAAAATCCAAATGCTTACACCAACTATCTTGAAATTACTTCAGCTCCTACATGGCAATTCCTACTGTTCTGGGGAAGCAATGCTTTAAAAAAAAATAAATAGACAAGTGCTTCCATCTTGACTCTATAATAGACTAACATCTGTAAGAAAGAGGCATTCTACAGCACACATTAAATACAGCTCAGTGTATTAACAGAAGTCAAAATGTGGTTCCATTTATGTGAATACTCTGTCCTACAAACTTTAAAAGTTTAAGAAACTATCCTAAGAGACATCCCTGAAATCAAGACTATAACCTAAGAGGACACCAGATAAGCAAGAGAATAACAATTCCAGTCACCTCATACTAACCCAGCTATATTCAGAAACCATTTTCAGAATTATATGTAGGCATGAGGATATTATTTGCATATAGGAACATGGATGTTTGAGTTTGCTTTCCTCAGAAAAAATGTTCTGTAACTGTATCCAACTGTACCTCTTCCCTGAAAATGTAATTCCACAGGATGAATCCAAGAAACCTCAACACAGAAAATCCTACAAGTTTTGTATGAACTAAAACCAGCTGAGTAAAAAAAAGACAGTGAAGCAAAGGATGTGGTAGTCTGAACACTTATCAGATAAAAAAGCCACATGTAAGACAAAGGATAAGATTATGTCAAAGTTTGAACTGTGTAAAAAATAACTTAGAAAAAAAAAGAAAAGGTTGGTTGGAAACTATTATTTCTTCAACACCAGTATTGACCAGTTTAGAGACCTACAGAATCAGGACAGCAGATTCCTGTTGTGCTGGTATTCACAGAACTATCTATACTTTTGGGAAACGTCCTCAGAAGTTTCATAGTTAAATGGGAATTCTCATAATTTTCAGAAAAAGAGTACACTGAATACATACATAAATGAGAATGAGTGATGGGAAGGCCTACCTTTAGGGAGCATGTACAATATTGTACATATATTTTGTGAGTGATTATAAAATCCCTTTATGTATCCTTACCATGCTGCCAACTCCATTTTAGTTACAAGGACTTTTGCTTCTTGGCTATCATTTCACTTTCATGTCGGCCTGAAACTTGAGCAGCAATATCTTGTTAAGAACTATGCAGCTAAAATGTAATCAACCTACTCAAAAAATAAGTTACCTACTATTGAAGGGAACTGGCATGTCAAGAGAGTGGTTTCCTTGGAAACTAAGTCAATTGGCAGAAATCTGATCATCTGATAAAGGACTCATCAAGAAATCAACTGACAGAGGTTCTGATGATTTACAGAGGGGAAAAAAAACACTTGGTAACTGGATCATCTCTATCCCTCTTATATGAGATCACAGTAGCACCTGTGAGGATCCCTGCTTTCTTGGATGTACAAAGACTATGAGGACTTCCAAAAGGATGGTGAGCCAGCACCACAGTAGCATGCCCATATTTTTCCCTGCTGAAAGAATGCAGAATTAAGAGAAGTGGCATTTATTCAGAAATTCTGCATGTTTAGAGGTTTAACTGCTTGTTCTTGCCATGAGCCTCTTGTTAGTGGTAAATCTGCAAACTCTCAACTCCAGTGGTATTCCAGATGCTTCTAAGAACTGCATTCCAGAGGCAAAAAATTAAGCTGTTTCTCTCCAAAGAAGCTGCACACAACAGCAAGGTCTGATTCACACACAGGTGTAAGATCCCACTAGAGGAACAATGCTTGGGCTCCTTCCTCACATTGTGGGGCCTCAGACATCTGGCAGTTTGGCTACCTATTTACTTGTAATAATAGAGTCTGACAACGGGCCTGAATTCTGGACCACATCTTTCCAGTTAGACCCTTAGCAGGTCCCTGCTACTGTTTTGGTCCAAGAAACTTTGCTTGACAATTGCCTGGGCAGAGACAAGCAGAAATAGGGACATTCCCAGCAAGACTTTGTGTGTGGTAGGGAAGAGTTAAAAATACTTTCACTGTATTAACATAACCTATGACACAGCAGTTGCCTACCAAGTCAGAAACTAACTCTTTTATTTAATTTTTATTAAGTATTAGTACAGATGTAGCCCTGGTGCTCCATCGATTCTGTAGTGATAAGTTTAGAGGGACATGTAGCCTAATGCTAACAAGTTAGTGCTTCTCTACAGAACTGTATCTAGCAAGCACCTTTGATCACTGAGGTAGCAAAGCTCAATAACAAAGAAAAGAGACCATGATATTATTTTCTGAATTGTCAAACTTAAAGGCATTCCCTGTAGACACCTCTCTCCTAATGTTAAGGTTCTTGTAACGCCTACATCTTCTTACAACTTCAGGAGGCAAAACTAGGAAATATGGAAGTGGGAGAAGAGAGAAGCAAAGTAACTGAGACAGTGCAACAAAGGATGAAGAACATGAAGGTCAATTTTCAAAGAGAAGAGTAGGAATAATGGGGAATGAACAAAAGATAAGGGCAAAGGGCATGGAAAAGGCTCTAAGTCCTATACTATCTGCTCATCCAAGTGACAACGTTTCACACACCTTTACTACTCCAGAAACTATGAGCAACTTCCCTTGAACCCACGTAAACTGAACCTGTGGACTCTCTCTTTTGAAGGAGCAATAGGAACTGGGACTGCCCCTTGAATACCAGAATCTGAACGGAGTCCTACAGAGGCAGTGAGCTACTCACATGCAGACAGTGCACAGCACACCCTGAGTAAATGCTGCAAGGAAGCCACACACAGAAGACACTGGCTGCTGTCTGGAAATACATTCACTTTCTGTTTTCAAACAAGAAAATTAAAATGAATTGCTAACTTTGTGATAACAAGATTGTGCAGAGCCCCCTTTCTTTTGCATTTATAGGTATCTCTTGTTCTGTCTCATGTTCTACATGACTGCTTAAAGCAACTTCCTTGGGATGAGGAGGAGGTTGAACACATCAGAAGAACCAAACTGCTTTCCATTGACAGAAATAGAAGGAATATTAGTCATAGCATCCAAGGATTTCATTGAGTCTGACTTAAAAAACCACGATTTTCTCTCAGTTAGCTCCACACAAAACCTTCCAGTAAATCTCAAACATCAGCAACATTTAAACCAGGAAAGGTAACTAGGAAGAGACTTGGAAAAACACACAGGTGTCACCTGCATAAACTACAATTCTACTAATATTTACTGAACATGTTCATATTTTATAAAAATATGAAACAGAACACAGTTTAGTTAGTCCAAAGGCTTGTCTTCAACTACCTCTTTTTAGTGTATCAGAGAAGATATAAAACCAGGAAGTACAGACACTCACAGGAAAACCTCTTCAAGCCTCTTGCTCAAGCAAGCCAGATGTATGAAAAGCACCACTAGGCACAAAGGTGTTCTTTCAGATTAGATCAGAGCTCAGTCCTTCCAACTGTTTCAGGGGATGGGGGCCTCCTCCACCTCTCTGGGTGTGGGGAATCCTGAAACAGATATGCCATTTAGAAAGACTGTTCTTTGAGCTGCTACTGACATGTATATCCAGTATATCTGCACTGTAATCTGGGTTTGTTTTCAATGCCAGCAGTATCCAGGATGGCATCCCTTCTACTGATAAGGATCACTTGGCTATTGAAGCAGTTGTTTACTTTCCTTTCAACAAAATAAAATCTCAAATTCTATATGGACTACAGAGGGAAAAGCTGCAATGATGTGCTGGGAGAACATACACAACTAATAAGTCTCCAAAAAGAACAGTCACAGGAAAATAACTAGTTTTTCCTCTTCTGAGTGCAGGCCATGGGGGAGAAGGAAGAGCTCTTGGCACAAAATCGGTGAGGGTGTCGCAATGCACCCTCCCTTCAGCTATTTATATACATTGGTAAGACTGCTTCTGAGCCTTCTCTTCTCCAGGCTAAACAGTCTCAGCTCTTTCAGCCTTTCCTCACAGAAAAATCTCCATGATCTTAGTAGCTGGATTCTCTCCAGCTGCTCCATATCTCTATTGCACTGAGGAGCTCAGAACTGGACCCAGCATTCCAGAAGTGATGCAGGTTTTCAAGACACGACTGAACAGGGTATGAGATAATGTCATCCAGGCTCCCTTTATCTACAAAAGATGTTTTTTTGAGATCCCTTCCAACTTTAGGTGTTCTATGAGCCTGGTGTCCACCAGGACCATCAGGTCTTCTTCTGCAAAGCTGCCTCCCAGCTGGACAGCCCCCAGCCCTCCAGCTGGTGCCTGGAGTTCCTCCCCAAGTGCAGGACTTTGCACTTGTCTTCATTAAACTGCACAAGGTTCCTGTCTACCCATTTCTCCACCCTGTTGAGGCCCCTCTGGATGGCTTCATGACCCTCTGGCATATGGGACAAGGTGGTGTAAGAACCCCAATTCAAAGGAGGAGTCAGATGTGGTGCTGGAGGCAGTGAGAGAGACTACGACTGATCTCAGATGAGGTTCAGTTACACAGTGCTCAGGAACCACCACATGAGAACATGAGCACTTTCATGTTCAAAGCCACCGTGATTCTTCCACCCTAACTGTTCAGTGACCAGGAAAAAAGAGTTCTAGCTCTAAACCATACTTACTGATTTTAATAACAAGCCATTGCTCTGTAGACTTTGAAAGGAAGTGTAAACAACATTACAGTGTTTTTGCCAAAACAACTAATGGGAACTGTTTTTTAGCTTTTGGCAAAATGAGAAAAATTAGCATTTTACTTCATCATTCACCCTCAGAGACATTAACTTTTCCATATGCCAATTAACATTGCCATTTTTCATTAATCCATTTATTCCTATTTAATTATATAATCCAGACCTTTTATATTGCCAAAAGGACATCAGAATTTGTTTCCTATATTATCATAGAATGATTTGGATTGGAAGGCACCTTGAAGATCATCCAGTTCCAACTCCCTGCATGGGCAGGGACACCTCCCATCAGACCAAGTTGCTCAGAGCCCCATGCAACCTGCCCTTCAACACCTCCAGGGATGGGGCATTCTGTAGTGTCTCTCACTGGTTCAACAGTGGCAAATACATTTTTGTGGGATTTGATGTTTTAAACCAGGTGGTTTCTTCCTGATCCATAACTTATACTCACAAGGAACTATTTTTTTAGACAAAGAATTTACCTTCACTGAGCCACTTGAGAGAATGTGTCCCTATTTTGCTCAACTACCACTGAACTTTCTGCCATGTCATCTCAGGGACAAACAAAAGAGATCCAAACACCATGTGGAAAGAAGAAATAATAGATGTGCTTCAAAGCAAAAAGAATTAATATAACAGTTCAATTTTTAAAGATTGTTTTCCTTTTAGGAAACGTAACGGAAACACAGTAAATGACTTGCAAAAACTTAAATAAATCAAATGATTCAACCAATTACACAAACCTCTAGTCAGTCTTGTTTCTCAGCTACAAAGCTTTTCAAAAGCATGCAAATAATTGAAAAACTGATAATACAGTTGTCCTGAAATTATTTCAGGAATAGTAGGGGATTATATCAGAAGTAACACCACCAGAAAAGACAAAATAAAGGGAATGAAAACTATAATTGAAACTATAACTGAGACCAGTGATATGAGAAAGGATGAACAGTAGAAAGGCAACATAACTTGCAAGAATATGTTGACAAATAGGCCAACTATACTCTGAGTCATCCTAAAGATGAGCAAATAACAATTCCTCTATAAACACAATCATGGCCATGGTCCATTATTTATGTCAGCTCTAGCAATAAAAAAGGACATAATATTCTAGTTACACAGGCTGTTGATGAAGAACTTAATGCACATGTTAAACAGAGAAGAATAGGTGGATTAAAAACCTGCATCCTTATCCTTTTTATTCTTCACACTATTTGCATCTTCTACCTAATATAGAAAATATTAAGGACATTTGTTTCTGATGGGGTATCTTTAAGAAGGCAGACAACTAATAGCCTAATTCCAACCATTAAAAAAAACACCTAGGAATACTGGCCTAAATATATTTGAATCTGAAAACCACAGCACTTTCATCTTCCTCACTTGAATCCTGCAAAAGCATTCTCAGCCTGACAAAAATTAAAGCTAAATCCATTGTTACTATAGTCCTGCCAAGCCTGAATTGGCATTTTTTCTTTACCCCTTGCATGGCATGCTTTCCCATTCTAGAATTACCATTCAATTGGTAATAAAGACGCTCAAGACCTAAATCTTCTGGATGTGGAGACCATTGACCTTCTCCTTAAACTAACAAGTAGAGTGGAAAGAATCCCTTTGGAGCAGGCAGTAAATATGAGCCTGAACTACAATTTCACTTTCACAAGTGAAGAGACTGGAGGCAACAGCTGCCTGCTGCTGTATCCAGAAGTCTATATAAAGCTCTGAAAAAAAGAATTAATTCACTCTAAACTTTATCTCAGTATACTCTAACCCAATACAAAAATAGGCACCTTCTTGGAAGGGCAGGTGTCATACTTTCTTTGGAAAACACTGTAGAAAGCTCTACCTGTGAAAGCTTTCCCATCATTCAACTGTTTCTTAAATTAGTGATCTCAGTAGCTAGTGGCACTGAGGCAGAAATAGCAGGAGCAGCTCTGCTCTGGAGCCAGGCTGGGAGAGTTGGGGTGTTCAGCCTGGAGAAGAGAAGGCTCCAGGGAGACCTTAGAGCACCTTCCAGTGCCTGAAGGGGCTCCAGGAAAGCTGGGGAGGGACTTTGGACAAGGGCAGGGAGGGAGAGGACAAGGGGGAATGGATGAAAACTGGAGGAGTGACAATTGTGGAGTGTGAGGGTGGTGAGAGCCTGGCCCAGGTTGCCCAGGGAAGCTGTGGCTGCCCCATCCATGGCAGTGTTGAAGGGCAGGTTGGATGGGGCTTGTGCAGCCTGGTCTATTGGGAGGTGTCCCTGCCATGCAGGGGTTTGGAACTGGATGGTCTTTAAGGTTCCTTCCAACCCAAACCATCCTATGATGCTATGATTCTATGAACAGAGAAAGATTAGTTAGGAGTGGATTAATTTCCTGTTTCCGTGACTTTGAGAAGTCCAGAAGTTGCCAATATAAGTAACAAGAAAAGACAAATCCTGAAAGAAGTCTGGATAATCTGAAGTAGTATCACCTAAACCATACAAAACCCTAATATTCACACTATATCATTAATTTCAAAATTTCACCCACAGCAAAACAGAATGGGTTTTCCCTTGAGGAAAGAAATCTATCTCCTCAGTAGAAACCCTTCTCTTTGAGGAGACAAGGAATGAGTATTTTGGGCACAGATGTGAAGCTAGTTTAATCAGACAGAAGTGATTTCCAGCATTCCCTTGTCCCCTGCTTTTATAATTTTCTACTGAAGCACTCCAAAACTCTAAAAAGCATAAGAAACTGGTCTTACGGAAGTAGCTGATGAATACCTCTCAAGGATTCTGTTAAACAGTCATTTAATAAGGGCAGCAATGGTGTCAGAAAACGGGGTATAGTCTGTCTTCTTTATAGCATCTTCTTTATAGCATCTATAGCATCTAATTCTTTTGCAGTTATTTATTTAAATCACTTATTTTTAAAAGTCTAGAGCAGGCCACCTGGAAATCAACTGTTTGCCATCAAGCTTTTCCTCACTTAAGGCACCTATATTTGTAAGGAGTCCTGGAATGACATCTAAGCTTTCAGAATATTGAGGAACTGGGAGAAAAAAAAAACAACAATCCATCTTTTCTCACCAGGGAAACTGTTGCTCTTCATCAGCAAATCTGCCATCACTGGTGACACTTCTGTTGAAATATATGAATGCAGGAAACATTTCAGAAGTTTGATTTCTATAGCAATCACAATAGATGGCAAGACACAATGGCTGAAGATGGAAACAAAACTTAGGAACCTTATGATTGTCAAAAATTGCTCCTTGCTTTCCTCGATGAACATATCAATACATTCAAACAGCTTCAATTAATATGCCTATTCTATTCTAAGTAGGTGGTTATCTGAAAAACAGAATTGCAAACAAAAAATAAGTAACTCTTTCCCTCAAAAGCTTCTTTTCTCTTCTTCCCCTCAGTATCTTCATAAAGCAGAAGTGATTTCATTAGAACTGTTCATTCTTTTCATCAGTCCTTGGGACAACAAAAGAATTTGAGATGGTTCTATGAAAGCACGCAAGTCTCTTGCAGGAATGAAATATTTCCCTCCTGTTCTCTTGGAAACAAATGCAATAGCATTAATGGCAGGAATCTGCCATGCAATTTTGACATGTTCTGCAGTTTTATCATGAACAGAAAAAGAACTTGAATAGAAAATATATTTTGGTACATATATAGGGAGTGTGGGAAAAGGGGAGTAAAGAACTCCATGCACCTTCCCCTGCACAAAGTATACTATTCCTATAATCCTCTTGCTTAATTCCTGCAAGGGTTTTAAATCACTGAGACACAGAATTGAGGCAGCTTCCCTGGGCAACCTGGGCCAGGCTCTCACCACCCTCACACTCCACAATTTCCTCCTCATGTCTCACCTCAATCTCCCCTCCTCCAGTTTTCATCCATTTTCCCTTGTCCTCTCCCTCCCCGCCCTTGTCCCAAGCCCCTCCCCAGCTTTCCTGTAGTCAGAACAAGACTGGAAAACATTTTTCTTTATTACCTGAAGGCCAGTAATTTGAGATATAATTTAATGATGGGTGATTCAACTACCTCTAGTACAACACTTCCTGGTTCAAACCTGGATATTAACATTCCATCTTTTATGGTTAGAATCATTAGTGTCTTAGCTCTCATGTTAACATACATGTCAGAAGAGTAAGTAGCAGGTCATAAAGAAATTAAGCCAGCAGAGGTTACAAGAAATCAACCCTGACAAGCTATTCTTAAGTATGCATAATGATCTCTAAAGAATATAAAAATGAAAATATATAATTTTCCCCTTTCAACTTTTATATGTTTTCTAAAACTCCTCTTAAATGGAGAAACCAAAGTGAAAATGTCCCACCCAACTTCATGTTGCAACGAGCAGTATTTTGGTAATAGGCTGGTTTTGCCTGTCCCTAAGTATATTTCAATAAAGAAGCCAGTGATTCTCAAAAATTATCAAGGTAATCAAGGTAAATAAATGACATTCTGTGGTTCAGGCTACCAGTAAATGATGAAGGCTCATGATGCCATATGAAAGGGTGACTGCAAAAAGCACCAGCAACAAAAACCCAAAACCAAAAACTTGAGTTCTGAAGCTCATAAAGGAGAGGTATCTAATTTTGAACAGATAGTAAGGGTGTATAATGACAGAACTGTTCAATCATGCCTGCTTTTAAAATTATTATTCAGAAGGTTGATCATTCTTTTCAATTAGAAAAAGTATCAACCAACTCCTTCTTATTAGATGCTTGGACACCATCAACTAATGAACCATTTCAACTGTAACACTGAAGTACTTCATAACATACCTTTACTAAATAAGTAAAATTACAGTAACTTAAGTATCATACTTAATTATGATAATTCATACAGTCTTTGCCCAAATAAGTCTTTTGGGTCACTGATTTTAATGGGAGAAAATTATTTTGCACTGAAGCTTTCTCCTTGGGACTTTACTTACTACCCTCACTCACAATTTTTTATCACTAAGCTTATTTTCTCAGTTTCACTCCCTCCATACTCAGGGAGCTTCTTATTTTCTCCAAAAAGTCTCTAGTCTTTCAGAATCTTTTGCTGTTTGTTTTTTTTTCACATCCTGCTTTCAGCTTAAGATAAGAGTGCCATGATAGCTCTGCTATGTATCATTTGCTTTAGCAACCTCAGTAGACAACATTCTCTAAACTATTCAGTATTATCAAGTCTGTAAATGAAAGGTGATACATTTTATAAAATTAATAACATACTCCTTAATATCAAAGGTGCTTAGGAAAAAAAAATCATCACCTTGATTGTTCTTAAGCATAAAAACATGTTAGAAAGATGATATCTAGTGGCAAGCATTTATATTTAAAAGTGACCAAGTGTTTAGAGGATGTGTTCTGAAAATAAACTGCTATTCATTCTTTGTTGCAGAGACTGTCAGGTCTGTCAATGTTATTAGCACAAAATGCTTGTTTGTCCAAATACTAACACAGCAACTGATCCCTCCACTGAACCTAGAGCCACAGACCCAGGTTCAGTCAAAAGAGACTGTGCCTGTGAGTCTCATTGATCTCTTATATCTGTTTGGTCATTTAAAACAACCAAGAAAACTAAACCAAAGTCACAAAATATTCTGCCTCTACTGCCAAAGAGTTTAATCCTGGGTTTTGTATGATCACATATTTTCCCAGCACCAGAACTGAATACCATCTGTAGAGCTGAGGAGAGAATGTGCAGCACCTTAAAACAACAGGCTTGAACAGCAAAAGAAAGCACATTGAATTTAATTTTGGGTATTCTATACACAATTATTAAGAGACTCAGTTTTGAAATATTAATGATCAAGCAAAATTAAAGCTATTTCCTATCAAGCAACTTCCAACCAACAATTTTTTGACAAATTTTTAGAAACTTTTAGAAACAAGAACAGAAGTGCAAAGATATTTTTTTTCCTAAGAATGTAAAGATAGCTTTGTTTTAATGTATAAATCTTGCAATTTTCAAATTCCACCAATTTTAAACGTTTTGATACTTGCATCATCGAGTATTTAGGAAGAGGGTGCTGGGAAGGAGCACATTACTATCCAGGAGCAATACTGACCTTCCTCTTCTCAGTTGAAATAAAACTTCTCCTGCTGTCCCTTTTAGGAAGTCTTCCCTCTCCGATCTGCTGATACACTCGTTACAAATTAATTGTCGACTTTCCTCATTAAATGGTGTGTTTGACCTGTGCTCTGCTAAGCAGTTATCATTACTGCTGCATAGATTATTTATCATAGCTGGTTCTTCAGACTCTGGCTTCTCTTCATCTGAAAGAGCCAAAGAGAACACATGATGTAGAAGTGTTCTCACACAACAAATACAGGCAACCAAGCTCAAAATGAATCAGTTTGTCCTGTTACATTATCAAACCTTGCTTCTATCAACTGAAAAGGTGAGAAAGCTTCAGACTATTTAAGGCAAAGTAGTCAGTGCCTTCTTCTGAACATCATTTCTTAAAGTCTTTTGGCTTTGTGCTTTAACATTTTCATCTTTCATCTCTTTTTTTAATTTCCATTGTCATAGAACCACAGAATGTCTGGGGCTGGAAGGGACCTCTAAAGCTCATCTAGTCCAGCCCCCTGCAGTGCACAGGGACCTTTTTGACTAGATCAGGTTGCCGAGAGCCTCCTCAAGCCTGACTTTGAATGTCTCCAGGGATGGGGCCTCCACCACCTCTCTGGGCAACCTGTTCCAGTGCTTCACCACCTTCAGTGTAAAGAACTCCTTCCTGATACCCAATCTGAATCTGCCCTGCTCTAGTTTAAGGCCAATGCCCCTTGTCTTCTCCCTCCCTGCCCTTTTCCAAAGCCCCTCCCCAGCTTTCCTGGAGCCCCTTCAGGCACTGGAAGGTGCTCTCAGGTCTCCCTGGAGCCTTCTCTTCTCCAGGCTGAACACCCCAACTCTCCCAGCCTGTCTCCAGAGCAGAGCTGCTCCAGCCCAAGGATCATCTTCATGGCCCTTCTCTGGACTCATCCCAAGAGGCCCATGTCCCTCTTGTATTGAGGGCTCCAGAGCTGAACACAGGTGGAGTCTTATAAGAGCAGAGGGGCAAAGATGGGTGGATTGTACCTTGTGAAAAAACTGATCATATTTCACTCAAGAAAAGGCAGCTGTTAGCCCTGCACCTTGGGATGTACACGTGACAAGAACCGGCCCAAGACACTGAAATGTAAACATCTGCACAATCCTCAAATGGGAGGAAGAGGCAAACTCAGGCAATAACTACATTAGGTTCTCAACCTCTCTAATTAGTAACATCAACTTATTAAGGCTAATGGATTAAACTATGTATAAGGGTACATTATATAATATTATATAATACATATTTATAGAATATGTACATAAAAACGAAGTAAAGTTTAATACTTTTTGTATAAGACTTACTTTGCAATAAGGTAAAAACTGAGATACTCAGTTTATCATGTAAAGTACCAGGCCTAGGCTGTGTAAGAATTGTCATTATTATCTTTAATGAAGACTCATTTGTAGAGTTCCAGCACATTTTATTATGAGCCAATGTGCAGGAAACCAAGATGTCATTTCCCATCTGCAAGAAAACTGCTTCTAAATCTCATGCTTAGCAACCTTTATTAAGTCTCCTCTAATGAAACTCTTAACAACAAATACAATGCAGTTACAGGCCTGTCAGGGCATCATTCCTTTTTACTCCTCCTTTTATGCTCAATAATCCATTGGGGAATCTCTTTAGATGATGCCATCTCATTACCTTTTTAAGCACTCCAGCATTTAATGTTAATTTTACCCATTGAAGAAAACTTTCAGTAAAAATTCCAATACTTAGAAACCTATAGGAAATAAAGGCACCTGTGTAATTTTCAACTTACTTTCAGAAGTGAGAGCCATTAGAATTTTTGGAAATCACATTATCAAAACTGCCTTAAAGTCAGTTAAATATTTTTTAAAAATTAATTTGAAAGGACATGCAGGCCCATTAATATAATAAATAATGCAATTAACAATATTAAAACCCATCATGCATTAAAACCCACCTAGTGATTTATCTAGGAAATAATGTGCATGAAAACGTTCTTACTCTGATTAGGAGGAACCATTTTAGCAGAAGGGAAGTTTCCCTCAGAAATTCTTCTAAATAAACCTGCCCGAGCGCTGCTGGCTTTTCTAACCCCTGCAGCATCTGCAGGAGGCTTTGGAAGGAAAATGGAAGAAGCTTCATCTTCTGCAAAAGTGACTAGTATTGGTTTCTGTGACAAAGACAAAGACAATGTTTTAAGAAAAGCATGGATAATGTCAGTCTCCTATAACCAAAAAAGTTTTAAAAATCAAATTACTTCTACAAATTATTTCTCCCCCTCTACTCTGCCCTGGTGAGGCGACAGCTGGAGTGTTGTGTCCAGTTATGGGCCCCCCAGTTCAAGAGAGACAGGGAACTGCTGGAGAGAGTCCAGGGGAGGGTGACAAAGATGCCAGGGGGGTTGGAGCATCTCCCTGCTGAGGAAAGGCTGAGGGAGCTGGGGCTGTTCAGCCTGGAGAAGAGAAGGCTGAGGGGAGACCTGATCACTGCCTACACGTGTCTGAGGGTGGGTGCAGGAGGATGGAGCCAGACTCTGCTCAGCAGTGCCCAGGAACAGGACGAGGGGCAACGGGCACAAGCTCCTGGAACATGGGAAGTGCCCCTGAAAGATTAGGAGAAACTGAGGGTGAGGGTGACAGAGCCCTGGGACAGGCTGCCCAGGGGGCTGTGGAGTCCCCTTCTCTGGAGATATTCAAACCCCCTGGATGCAGCCCTATGGGATGTGCTCCAGGGGGTCCTGCTGGAGTAGGGGTTGGACTGGATGATCCTTGGAGGTCCCTTCCAACTCCAGCAATTCTGTGACTCTGTGAAGGGTTAAGCCCAGAATAGAACAGGTAAGAGTTAAATAGGTTTGCTTATAAAGAATTTCTAATTTTCATATCCAGACCCTAATGACACCATTGCACTAATCAAGGCAGATACCTATACCATTAGCACCAGAGAAAGTAATTTAAAAGTAAACATTCATGGGTGTAGAAAACAAAAATTAGCCTGAGTGGAGCAACTGAAGCTCAGAGTTAATTACTTTCCTCATATGCTTTTAAAATCATCTGCAGTATGCCTATTTGTGAAAAAAATGTTGTCCCAAAGACCTGTACTAGCAGTTCTAGAGGCACATCTATATGACCTGGTTTTGAGCACTAAAGCAGTATTTCCAGGTTGCTCTCAGCAACCTGGCTGGTGGGAGGTGTCCCTGCCCATGCAGGGGGGTTGGAACTAGATGATCTTGAAGGTCCCTTCCAACCCAAACCATTCCGTGATTCAATGAAAAGGCAGTTTTTGCATTGGTCTTAACAGTAGTTTTCTTTAGGCTTTTTCCCCTCTCACACACAAGTAAGTGAAAATCTAACACGAGCATTTAAATCCAACTGTAGATATATTTAATCTAAATCTAAGTATGGTCAGAATTCTTTCACTTGATTCATATAAACACAGTCCCTTATCAAAATTACTGAAGTATAACATGTCTTGGAACTTTTGTCTCCTAATTTCCTAAAGACTGCCACATTTAGATCACTGTCTTTAAGAAACAATATACACACAAGCATACTTACTTCTTTTAGCAGGCTCTGTTCCCTCAGGTACTAAATGATCATGACAATCTTATATTTAAAGATTAAATAAATAAATAAATAATGAAAAAAACCCCTGAAAAAGCAGATACACTTACAAATTAAAAACAATTCAAAAATTTCACACAGGGGAAAGAGAAGTTCTCACAAGCACCTCTATCTGTTTTTTAAATAAACTGTAATCATTACATTTTATAGATATGTAACTCAAATAGAAAGCACAATCAACCTAATTACTTTCAAGCTATTGATCACAGAACCACAGAATAGTGGAAGTGACCTCTGAAGGTCATCTTGCCAAACCCCCCTACTGACAATTGCCCAGGACCATATCCAGGTAGCTTTTGAAGATACTCAAGGATGGAGACTACACAGTCTCCCTGGGCAACCTATGCCAAGGCTTCATCACCCTCACAGGGGAAGAAGTATGTCCTGAAGTTCAGAGGGGACCTCCTGTGTTTCAGTCTGTGTCCATTGCCTCTGGTTCTGTCACTGAGAAGAGCCTGGCCCCATCCTCTCTGCACCCTCCCTTCAGGTATCCATATACATGGATAAGATCCCCACTGAGCCTTCTCCAGGCTGCATGGTCCCAGCTCTCTCAACATTGCTCCACCTTTGTGGCCCTTCATTGTCCTCTCTCCAGTTGCTCCATGCCTCTCTTGTACTGGGAAGCCCAGAACTGGACCTAGCACTGGGCCCTCCCTTACATCTTCTGATTCTTCTTAATGTCACATAGAATTACAACGCAATCTAGCAACATTTAAATAGCTTAAATGATTGTCATACTTCTTTGGGGGAAAAAAATGACAAAACCAACTTAGTGAGTCTCAGATTAACATTACAACAGGCTTCCATTTCTCCCCAACCTATTTAAGCCATATCTTCTCCTAACAATACTTTTCTGTCAGTATTGCAGGAGTTATTTCCAGAGTACTCACATGGTCCAGTGGGCTCAGACGTACACTAGGCACTGGTCTTGATTCAGCCACATCAAAACTGGATGCATGAAGACAAGCATAAAGAAATTAAACATAACATGAATAAAGAAGACCCAATGTTGTGTGGTGGTGTTTGGCTTTTTGGTTGTTTTTTAATTGCATGCTTCTTCTCTTTGCAAATGGATAATGAGGAAGAAAGGAAGAGTGACAGAGCACTTTATGTTACCACTCTTAATCCATAAATGCTATTTAACTTTGATATCCAGGAATTCAGTAGCATCAAGTGAGAAGAATTACAAGATTGCCACCACACCTGCCATGGTACACTTTATTTCATACACATCTCTAATAATTCTAATTCAAATCTGTATGAGCCTAAATTCATGCACAAACCCAACTGTGGTTAGTGCCCAAACTCCCTGACAAAAGCAGAAACCTCAGGTTTGTGCAGGTCTGAGCCTGCTCCTGCCCACGCACAGGATAAGCACACACACAGCAACCACAGGTGTTGGGCAGAGTGATCCCACTACCTGGTGGCCAGCAAACAATCAAGTCACTCTCAGGCTCCTGCCTTCTGTAGGGGCACAACACTCTGCAGTAAACATGGGATAGGTGCAGGGCCTGAAGTCATGCTGCCATGAAATCAGCATGGACACTGACTTCCCCCTATGGCCATTCCAACCCATTGCAGCTTCCTTCTTGGAATGCCTAACACCAAGCATTACAAATGCAGCTACTATCTCCTCCCTACAGTCGCTACAGAACTGATATAAAAGGAGGGCTAAAAAGTTACTGGGAAAATGGTAAAAAGCCCAACATATACATTTTTTTCTCTGTTGTCACAAGAGACAGATCTATCGAGCTCTGTGAATTATATTAAGTAAGAAAATCCTACAAATAAATTATTTTGGATTAGTATAAACTTTGTTTAAAAATTAGCATTTCATACTTAAAGGCCTAAAATTTTATGTTGTAAGATCTGAAAAAGCTGTGAAAAAAGATCTAGCATACAGTTTATATGGAAACATGCAAGCTTTCACAGTTTCTAGGGAAAAGTTGAAGACTCTCAATTAAAAGCCTTCATTGTCTCAAGAAAAAGGTGAGCTACAGACATTTTTCCTATGCTACTCTCCACATACCAAACTAATGTAATGACTGCCTCTGGAAGCTCTAATCCACAGGAACTTCTTGGACATGTAGATTAGCACCAGGAATATGGATCATTAGAAGAAGGCAAAGGATGTGATTAGGAATACGGATTAACACGGGGGAAAAAAATCACTGGAAACACAATGACAGAATCAAATACCTGGCTGCTAAAGGATATTTTTAAAAAAAAATCTTAAAGCCACAGTACCTAAAAACTGAAGGGGGTCTATTTTGAGGAGCTCCTGAGGATCCAGATCCAAAAAGTTTCCTTTGATCCTCTGTAGGTGTAAATGGTCTCCGAGTTCCCAGCGTTCGTAGAAAATTTCTGGCTTCATTTATAATCTCAGAGTGGGTCTTCTGCCTTGGCATGGAAAGGCTGCAGGATGGTTCTGCCTTTGAAGGCTGCATTCCTCTGCAAAGTAGTGCACAGGAAGAACACCGTAGAAAATATATATGGAACGTACTAAATATAAATAAATAACTAAATATAAATTACAAGCCATTCATTCATCAGTGTTTATGCTAGTGCAGTGTAGTGAAGAAAGGTATTATCACAAGATCCTAGATGGTGGGGAGGTAGTGGAAAACAAGGCTCACTGGTACTGCATTTTGCTCTCTGGTCCTCAGGTCTGCAGGAAACACCAAAGAGCAGAAAGCATCTGACAGAGGACCTACAGTTTTTTAGAGGGAGCTAAAATACATCACAGTCAGGACCCTTGTGCTTTCTGGGCCAAACAAGGTGCTCTCCAATACTACAGAAAATCTGTTTCATAGAATCATTGAATGGTTTGGGTTGGAAGGGACCTTCAAGATCATCCAGTTCCAACCCCTCTGCGTGGGCAGGGACACCTCCCACCAGCCCAGGCTGCTCCAAGCCCCATCCAACCTGCCCTTCAACACTGCCAGGGATGGGGCAGCCACAGCTTCCCTGGGCAACCTGGGCCAGGCTCTCACCACCCTCACACCCAACAATTTCCTCCTCATGTCCAACCTCAATCTTGCCTCTTCCAGTTTTCATCCATCCCCCTTGTCCTCTCCCTCCCTGCCCTTGTCCCAAGCCCCTCCCCAGCTTTCCTGGAGCCCCTTCAGGCACTGGAAGCTGCTCTAAGGTCTCCCTGGAGCCTTCTCTTCTCCAGGCTGAACAGCCCAACTCTCCCAGCCTGTCTCCAGAGCAGAGCTGCTCCAGCCCAAGGATCATCTCTGTGGCCTCCCCTGGACCCTCTCCAACAGCTCCATGTCTTTCCTGTGCTGAGGGCACTAGAACTGGACACAGCTCTCGAGGTGGGGTCTGACCAGAGCAGAGCAGAGGGGCAGAAACACCTCCCTGGTCCTGCTGGCTACACTTCTGATGCATCCCAGGATGTGGTTGGCCCTCTGGGTGTTTCTTAACACTTCATTACTTATACAGCATCATAACCAAAATAGGAATTCAATAATATGATAAAGAGACACTTTAATTCCAATGCATTTAGAACATACAAGTTATTGACCTTACCAAGGGCAGCTTCATCATAAGTCAGAGCTATTGTTAGGAGGAACTGAAGCACAGTTACCAGAAATTGATAAGCAGAGATGAGAAAGAATAGGCAACCCACTTTTAAATGGAAACACCTTCCCAGCCCACCCCCAAGCACATGCAAAGAAAGATAACACTAATGTAAGAGAAATTATCAACCCAAACTTTCAGTCAGTGTTCTGTCCTACTGCATCTTCTAGCAAATGCAGCAGGCAGTGAAAGAAAGACTTTCTTTACCATCTCCTCAGCCCCCTCCCAAAATCAATCACTATCCTGTTGCAGATCTCTGTACATACCATCCTTGCCATTTTACAGCAAACTCACCATTAGCCTTAAACCACCCAAAATCCCTCTTCTGCTTTTTAAACGTACCTAAAAAGAAAATCATGTTTCTGCACTGTCTTTGGCTCAGCCAATTTGGTAACTTCTATTCTCTCACATGGTTAATGACAATGAAACAACAGTAGATCAGGCACTGCCATCTTGGTTGCTTCTAAACTACAGAGAAAACTCTATTTCTCTAGTTTCTTAGTTCACTTCCTCCTCCTGTTCCATTTCCAACTGCCTCTTCTGTTCTCTCTTGCAGAGCCTTTAGATTCTGGCTACGTTTCTTTAATTATACACAATCCAACCCCTTCAGCTAAACTACCCAAGATAAAACTGGATGCTGAGGAGCAGAGTGCCAACCTCTTCACTAAAAGATGCAGAACTACAAAACACAGGAACAGCTCAGAAGCCTGAACCTGTCCATGTTTTCAACCCTTCTGATTACCTCCCCATCCATGACGTTTCTTCACTGTCACTGACTTTGGCTCTCTGTGCTCCTTACTCTTCCCCCTATTACAACATGATTTCCAAGAGCTAAGTGAGGAATTCCACTGCAGCAGTTTGTTTGGAGCAATTATTGATATTCCTGAATGACTAGAGAAGGTTGATTATCATTCCCTGTTCTTTCAGCTACTCAAGAGTGAAGATTTTGACTTTTAAGTGGAAGGCCTTTTGTGTAGGCTGTGTGTCTGATCCAGTTACTATCCAGCATACATGGAAACAATAGCTGTGAATAAACACTAAGAGATAATCAACATGATTCTACAGGTCATAAATTTGAATTAATACATATTTCTTCTTTTCTGGCCTATATATTTTCATCCACTATGCTAAAATTTAAAAGAAATCTTCTCAACTAATCTAATATCTTACATTTAACTTCTGAAGGACACCATTTTATTTCCTTCTCAAAAATCTCTGTGCTCTGACATTGAAATGTGTCTTTCGTGGGATTTATGTACATGTTCTTCACAGTTAAACTAAGAAGCTTAATTAGGTAAGTCCTTCCATTTGGGCAGTGTTAGTTACCCTTCCAATCCACCAAAACCCAATTTTTAACCATTTACGCTGCAAAGGGAACCTGTGGCTTGGTTTGAATGCTTGCCTGAGCTCCCTGCTGCATTGCTTCATTAGCAGAGAGGTTGGACATTAGGAAGAAGTTCTTCAGAACAGGTTGCCCAGAGAGGTGGTGGAGGCCCCATCCCTGGAGACATTCCAGGTCAGGCTTGATGGGGCTCTGAGCAACCTGATCTAGTGTGAGATGTCCCTGCTTATTGTAGGGGGTTGGGCTAGAGGACCTTTAGAGGTCCCTTCCAACCCAAGACATTCGATGATTCTTAGAAAAAACCAAGAAGTAAGAACAAAGTTACAAGAACTTGTGCCTGCAATGCTCCACGAAGACTTTCAGCGCAGCCCTCAGGTAAAACCTCCAAGAGGAACTCCCCAAACAAGCAGCACCTGCGGAATAAAAACCGACCCCGGGGCTTTGCGGATTCACCCCGGGAAATGGGGCGGGGGATCCTTCTCTGCGGCCCCTCCTGCACAGCCTCCGGTTCCTGCTCTCCGGCCCCGTCCAGCAGAGCGTCCCGCCGGGCCCTTCGCCTCAGGGAACCCCCTC